CGGGGGGATTTGGGGTGCTCGGTGATGCCGCCTGCATTCCCTGCTCTCTGCGGGCCGCGCTCCTCAAGGGGAATGCCCTGCCTGGATTACGGTTAATAATCCAGGATTTTGGACCCTGCAGCTGCAGTTTGGCAGCGCGCCGGGTTTGCTCGGGCTGGAAAGGAGCCGGCTCGTCCCGGGATTCGGCGAGGTTTAACCCCTGCGTGTCCCGCAGGATTCCAACGCCACCGGACACTTCCAGGCCCTGGGCGGGTGGTCCCGGCAGGATTTGGGAGCAGCCAGCGTGGCTTGGCCAGACACCCGGCCCGGCGCTGCTCCTCATCCTCACCGCCACCACAAACCCCATCCAAACCCCATCCAAACCCCGCCGTCCCCGGGNACTCCCATTCCAACTCCCTTCCCAAATTTAATCCAACTCCAGCCCCACTCCAATCCCAACTATAATCCCACTCCAAACCCAGCTTTAATCCCACTGCAACTCTAACTCCAACCCCAAATTTAATCAAACTCCAGTCCCACTCCAATCCCAAATTTAATCCCATTCCAAGCCCCCTGCCCCCCACTCACACATGTTGTGCTTGCGGGCGATGTAGCGCAGGATGGCGTTGCTCTGGGTCAGTTTGGTGTTGCCATCGATGAAGTAGGGCAGCTGGAGGGGACAGAGGGACATGGGGACACTGGGACAGCGAGACACCCCCAGCCCCTGCCCCCCCAGCCCCTGACACCTACGTTGGGGAAGTCCAGCCCCAGCTTCTCCTTCTCGTTGATCCATTGGCTCTTATCATAGTTGGGAGCTGCAAGGGAAGGGGGTTTAGTGATGCTGTGTCCATCCCAAAAACCCCAAAAGAGGCTGAGGGTGGTGTGGGGACCCCCTGACCCCCTCACCTTCCCCACAGCTGTAGAGTTTGTCCTCATAGGGTGTCTCTGTGTACTCCAGCAGCAGGCGGATGGCGTGGGCGAGCTGGGGAGGGGGATCAGTGAGACACCCCAAAAACACCCCCTAATTGTGAGCCTGCAGCTGGCTCACACACGGGGAAACTGAGGCACAGGGCAGGGCAAACGGCACCCCCTTCCCAGCACCCCCAGTCAGCACCCCCTGCACAGGGGGACCCCCCCAAAAGCAACACCCTCCCACCCCCAAGTGCAGCAGGACCCCACAATCCATCCCAGACCACCCCCAAAAGATCAAGGAGACCTCCCACAGCTTCCCCAAAACACCTGAGGGTCCCCCCCAGATCCCCCCAAAGACCAGAGGGGCTCCCACAGTTCCTCCCAAGGTTAGGAGGGCAGCCTAAGACCCCCCCAAAACACCAGAGGGATCCCCACGGACTCATCAGAGCCCCCCAAAAGGCACCCCCTGCCGTCCCGCCCAAGGCTAATAAGGGAGCCTCATTAGAGCTCACTAGGAATGTGCTAATGAGGAGCGGGGGGAGGGGGAAGAGGGGCCAGAGCCGCCTCCCTCAAAACACCAGAGGGACCCTCACAACCTGTCCAAATGAC